ATATGAATTAGTTAACACCCTTGGGGAAATATGCGAAAAATAACAATTTTCCCCCTTATTCTTTGAAATGAAAAATATTGGTATTTGCTTAAGAAGAGAGTAATTTTTTTCTTGGTTTATTTTGATATGGGACTAGGTGTTTACTTCAATTTATATGCTAAACCTTGGATTCCAAAGTTTTTATCCATGATTAAGATTTATTATTAGCTTATAATGGCTTTTTTCTCCACCTGTTTGTAAGAACAAAAAACATGGTCTGATTTGGTTGTTGTGAGGATGATTACATGCAAAAGGTTGCTGATAATAGACGTTGCATGACAACTTACTCAGCTTGGGAGGTTATTATATGCATCTATAGTTTTTAGTTCCAATAAATTACCATTTTCCTTCATTCGCAAATGGATTAACATACCAAGGTGGACTATTTTTCTCCGGATTACTTGCGGATGTTTGATCATAGACAAATGTGTTACTGTATAAATTAAGTTGAAGTTCAAAGGGGCTGAATAAGACCAGCGATTTCAACCCATTAGTTTTAGTGGAAATTACATAATACCAGGGATTTAAAGACTACAATACAAAAATCAGGGGTGAAGTTTATTTAATCAAAAATCAGGTATTAATTGAATATTTTATTAATAAATTATTCAATTTCAAACCCTAATTCACTCCATTCTCTCTCTACTCTATCTCCATTTTCGCTACATTCTCTCTACTAGCACCACCGCCTACTAAATCTGACCGTGAATAGCGTCGAGTGCTGGACGAGTGTTGATGCTGCGACGAGTGCCGGCGTCGCGACCAGCAACGATGCCGTGGCTACTGAGCGTCGATCTGAGCCCCGAAGATGCAGCTTTGTTGTGGCTGTGCGTGCGGCAACACTGGTCGGCGGCAATGTAACAACCTCACGACACGCAAAAGATAGTTCAATGTGTAGAAGTGTATTGGTGCGGTGTTTAGGTGTTTGTTGGGTTTGTTGGTTTTTGGAGCGGTGGTCGATATGGTGGTGGTGCCGGGTGGTTGCAGTGGTGGGTTGGATTTCAACTTGAAGAAGTTGAAGAAGAGGTCGAATAAGTCTAGGAGCAAGTTGGATGAGTTCAAATTAGCGAGTTCAAATGGGGTGTGAGAGTGAATAAGTGAGTTTTATGTTGGGGAACGGTCGGTGGGTGTGACAATGGTTTGCTGCTAGCAGTGTGAGTGGTGTTGATCGATTGTTGTGATATGATAAGGGTGGATCTGGCAGTGGTGTAGCAATGATGGTGGTGATGCAGTGGTGGGGTTAGTTATGACGCTGGTGGTGGTGTGTTTTGGTAGTGTTGGGTGGTTCTTGTTGGTAGTGTCGGCAACGAGGTAGTGGTTAGCGGTTGTGTAGTGTAGGCAGCAGTTGTGTGTGGTTGTTTTGTGGTGGTGGTTGTGCGGTGGATGTGGGTCAGACGGCGTGGGATAAGGATGTTTGTTGTTGGTCTGGATAGTATGGTGCAGGCGATGGCGACGATGGTTGTCAATTTTTTGTTGCTGGTGGTTGTGGCAGTGTGGTATAGTCGCTCGTGTTTTGGTGATCGATTTTGTTGTTGTTGGCGGTGGTTGTGGTGGTGTTGTGGCGAGGGAGAGGTGTAATAGTAATTGTGACCAACTATTTGATTGTTGTGTGATCAAGTATTAGTGGTGAATTGGGATCGAATGTGGAGTTTTTGGTGTATGTGACCAATGATTTGGTCTATAACCTTTAAAATTCAATAATCTGTAACTAAAAAAAATGTGACCAATAAATTTGAAAATATGTGACCCATAGATAAATTGTGACATTTAATTTGAATGATCTGTGACATCGAAATAATCTGTGACATACAAAATTTTCGATTTGTGACCATGGAATAATCTGTGACTAATTAGTTTGATCATATGTGACCAGCAAATAAATTTGTGACCATTAATCGTATAACTATGACTTTATTATATTTATATAATAAATATTTTTAATTAATTAAATATATACCTGAATTTTGAATTTTCAAACTATCTACCTGATTTTTGAATTGGTGTAAATAAGACCCATGAATTATGAATTTTTCCCTTAGTTTTATCACCTAATGCTTCATTGTATATACATGCTTTAGACAGAAAAGAAGAAAATACAATCATTTAGGTTATTTCATATTAAAAAAAAAAGGTGGTCAAAAAAGTTCACTTCCTCTCATATTTTATTTTAAATAGCATCATCATACCCCTTTTATGGCCAGCTCCAACATTCTTAATAAAATTTTGTTCTATAGAAAGGGAAAAAGTATCTCTATAGGTTGTTTTAATATTTTTATAAATCATAATTGTGTTGCTAAATTTTTTAGATGTTCAACTTGCTACCAGCCATTTCCTGTTGTTGAAATTACTTTAAAGGCATTGAATAACTCCTCCAGTATTTTTTACTTGACTTTTGCGTTCAAAAGTTTTACAAATTTTCTTCTTTGTGCAGAAAACATTAGTTCCTATTTTATTAGGCCCCTATTTACTTTTGTTTTTTGTGATAATTCCTTTTTATTAGTTATAAAATTGATTATTTCGTGTTAGCTAATTTTTTTGGTCATTCATATAAGCACATTGTTGTTACTATTGCTATTGCTATTGCTATTGTTATTATTTTTTATTTATTTATTTTTTTGTGGCCTAAAAGGCTTTTAAATGTTCCGAGTAATAATTATTGTGCAAGGAGACAAGTAAGATACCCTTTAAAGAGCAATATATAATCTGGTGCTGAAGTTACTTCGTTTCCACTTGCACAATATCACATCTGCAAGCACCTTAGTTTGACTGTATTTTCAGTAAATTGTTGATCCGAAAGGCGGTGCAAGATTGAGATTTAATGACAATAATGAAATATTCAAAATCGCACCAAGAAAAATAAGATTAAAGTAAAGTAGAAAAAGAAAAACTAAGCAGAGGAACGATGAAATTTATTAAATCGACAATATGGAGAGAATAATACAGGACAACAATAATGCTTCATCTAAAACTGACAAAGGAGACTCTAATTTATAGGTCACGTCCATAAACCTAGTGAAGTCCTAAAAGACAAGAAAATATACTATAATTAGGTTAAACCGTGTAAAAGGAAAAAATCTTGGATGTAATTTGATTTCTTTTCAAATTCAAACCAAATGTGATCCTCCAAGATTTCAACCCAATTTTGAGGCATTAAACCTAACATAAACTACTTATTATTATTATTATTATTATTATTATTATTATTATTATTATTATTATTATTATTTGGGAGGTGCTACATGTACATAATTGTCTACATAATGGTGTTCATAATTACATGTAGCACTAGATCTAACCTTTAATTCATATCTCACACTTACACACCAACAACCGGATGATTGCCACATCACATTATGAACACCATTATATACAATAATTATGTATAAGTAGAATTTTCCTTATTATTTTATGTTCTATCAGGCACTTCTCAAATAAGCAAAAATTAGATGTGAAAAAACTAAGTTTAAAGTGATCGATATGGTAGATTTTTATGATCATTTTCCATCTCAAAGGGGATATTATGGTCCAGTATTATACCTCTTACCCTTGTGCACATACTTCGAATTGAGTTCCTTTCCAAATCATATTTTAATGTCATATGGCTTTATGCAGTGAGATAATCAATGTTGTTGTAACTGGTAAGAGGTTTTTTTCTATGTTTTTAATAAAATTGATTATGTGCAGTTCATCCCGTTATTCATTGTAAGAAAGCTTGCAAAATCCTCCACTTTATACTTAGGGTCCATTTGATTGCAAAGGTGGAATTTGGGTGGAAAGAAAACGAATCCCAGGAAATTGAATTGATGGGAAATTATTTTTCTGAAAATTGTAAATTATTGTGTTTGATTGGTATAATTTTTCACGTGAAAAATGTTTAAATTAAAGTGTTTTTTTATGTCCGTTTGGCTTTGTTTTACATAAAAATTGTCAATTAAATGGATAGAATTTACTGGCATTGGGAATGAAATTTGTTTCCAAAAAAAAATATTCAAGAAAAACATGTATCTTTGAGTGTTCGTTTGGCTTTGTTTTACATGAAAATTGTCAATTAAAATGAAATATTTTTTTACAATAAATCTTAAAATTTATTCCCATTACCAACACAAAAAATTTTAAAAAAAATAAACAAAAAATAAACAAAATATTACAGTAACATGGAATTCCAATTCTCACCATTTGGTTTTCCTTAAAAACCAATAAAAAATCAATTCCCGAAAGAAGCAAGAAAAGGCAATTCCATGAAAATAAACCCTATCAAACACTATGGGTGCGTTTGATTGCAAGTAGGAAAATTGCATGGAAAGAAAATATTTTCCAAGTAATTCAATTGCATATAAATTATTCACAAGGAAATTGTTAATTACACGTGTTTGATTGACTTAAATTTCAACCTAGAAAATGTTCCAATTTTCCATCTTTTGGTGTTTGATAACCATTATTTTCCATGAAAATGGTCATTTTTTCCAGTTTTAGTTGTTTGACAACCACTATTTTCCATGAAAAATTGTAATTTTTTCCATGAAAATTAGTCAATCAATTTTTAGAAATATTAAACAACGGTGTATTTATAAATTAATTAATATTACATGCGCACCATGATTATGATATTTTGAAGAAGTGATATTTCGATGAAAATGTGATAGAAAATAATAAGAAGATTTATAAAAAATAAGGAAAACGCCCCTACCAATTCTAATTTCGACTCATTTATGGGAATTAAATATTCGATTTTGCTACGGGTACACAAGCGTGTACAAAGGGGTGTCCATATTGGCCGAGGCGCCTGCCACGCCGGGGCCCACAAGCATTTATCTTAAATTTTCATAATTCCATTCAAAAATAATTATCAGATAATCAATATAATCAATTCAATAAACAATTATCAGATTTTGTCCAATGTATTACATAAAACAAAATAATAATAATAATAATAATAATAATAATAATAATAATAATAAGAAAGCCAAAACATGTCTATCGTACGATATAGCAATTAAAATCAACAAAGATACCATACTTATACATATGTTTGTTGAATTCTCTAAGCAAGTCCTCTTAATCCTGTGAATACCATACTTTTACATATGTTTGATGGCAGCATCTCCGTCTTCTCCCAACGATCGTTTAATCCTGTGGATATCCAAAAAGTAGCCATGACAAGTATTCAACTCCCCCCTGTCTCATGAGACCTGATTCACTAGGCGAAACAACCCTTTTCCGCATCAAGGTCTCAATCTCTAGGCTTGTTCTTTTCCTGAAACCTCTTGGTCTTAGACGAAATGCTCATTGGACTCTTCAAAATTTCCCTTAACATAGCAAGACTCAAAGATTAGTTTAAATTTTAATTGCCCAAGACATCTCTCAGAATGGAAAAGGGACTGATAGTCGAGTTGTAAAATTGGGAAATAAGGCGAAACTTACCTGGGTATAAACATGGCACCCAGATTTTTCATGATTATCCCTGATATGTTTGAATGCAAATTTCATCCCACAACCAGGAATGGTACAGGCAAATGGTTGAAGCTCACAGTGAACAGCTTTGATGTATAGATTGAGATTGGATCTCTGTATCCGAGAGAAGCATATCTTAGAAATAGGCAAATTTTGGCAGTCCATCGCTTTCCCCTTGACATTACAAATTGCAATATTAGAAATGCAAAGTTACTGATGCATTATATTTATCTTTCACTGGTTACAATTGTAAGTACCTCCTAATAGATCATTCAATTCTTCTTTTCTTTGATGGACCAAATATGCTTCACGGCCTCATTAAGTATTTGGAACCCCTGAATATCTCCATTTTTTCACTGGCTTCTAGTCGCCAAAAAAATAAATTCAGGATGAAGAATTCAAGATTAATGGTTATACCATGAGATGCATAAATATGAATTTTACAATTCGCTTGTTGCATATTTTCTCTCTTTTCTCAAAGCATTTCTCTCCTGTCATGACATTTTATCTTCCTCTATAGCAGGAGGAGCCAATTTTGGGGGTCCATACACACCATCACCATCCTATAAGCATGGCATGGAGACTTGAGGAAAAAAAAAAGTTTGTAGTTGATAAAAACTTTCATCAAGTCATTTTGGCAGCGAATAGGGCAGATAGAGTATACAACAAAAAGTACGGTACCCCATGCACAAGGCGTGTAAATTTATATGTTTCAAAAGTTTCACTGATTATATAATCACCCTAGAAAGCATATACCAAGTTTAACAAATATATGAACCGTCCGAAAAGACAAAGCTCTTAAATGCCATGATAAATCAAGCACCGTGTACCTGTCATTTGTAACTACTAATTAAAAATTCATTTATAGCACTTTGGCCAAAATTGTAATAGACATTTAAGTATTAGAAATGTAACAGGGTAGCAAATGTGTACCTATCTCAACTTCATAAACACTTGAGGATCTCTTTAAAATTGCAAAATATTCAAGTGAGTTAACTAAAAGGTGCGCGACAACCCTTGCTACATTATGCACTTGTTAGATCAGGAGAGGGAATGACGCCCGAAACACAGGAAAGCAACTACTTTTGATGAGTCAATACATGAAAAAAGGACCATGGCCAAGAAAACTAAACACTACATCATTTCAACTCAACATAAAATGACAAATCATCAAGATTGAGTGATGTTTATCATATGCTAGGAGCTTAAATACCATCCTTATATGAAAAAAAGCACAATACGACTCCATCAAGTTAGCATTTATTAATTTCAAATCCCACAGGGCCATATAAACGGACGATTACCAGCATACCATTGTTACACATGATATAAATTAATTGATAGATAAAAACCATCCTTTTTTATTTCTTTGTTGCTGAATACAGTTTTGTTATTTAATATTTTGATTGACAGTGTCCCTTAAATTCTCCTTCCAGAAAATTGAGAATTAAAAAGTAAAGGCTCCAACACTTTCTGGAAAAGCTTTTCGACTAAAATGGAGAAAGGAAGCTGCAACTGGGGTGAAGGAAAAATTTATCGAATTCATTGATGTCCCATTCGAGACTTGCTCTTTCTCTGTACCGGCCAACCACCCCCATGGTAATGTAGTGAAAGAAAGAGCCATTTTCTCCCCCTTTTCTATTTTTTACACTGAATATAAGTCAATGATAAATTACAATGGAAAAGAAGCAGAAGGAATTCCAATTCAACAATCAGTATCCTAAGTACAATAACTCCAAAATAAAGGTAATATTTGCAATTAATTCATGAGTATGATTGGAAAATTCACATGGAACATCACACAATCGCAATTTTTAAAAGTGCCGTGAAACAAACCTTAATCGACGCAATCAACGGCTCGGTATCGAAGTTTGGCAGTGAATAGGATGGATATGGAACCAGGGATGTTTGGTTGCTTATTTTTTTCTTCCTTCTTCTTGGTTCAGATGTGTGAGTACTTGGGTTCTTCTTCCTTCTCTATGGTTTCTTCTATCATCGTTCTGGTTATGTTCGACTGTGATGAGAGAGGGTTTTCTACGTGAGGAAGAGGAGAGGGAGAGAGAGGAAATACGTGAGGACGTGCGAAGACATTGGAAAGTTCAATTCCATGGAAAATAAAATCCTGCTCAATCCAAAGAAAATGCTTTCCTTGATTTCGTGGAAAATCTGGTCACATGATCAAAAAGTGGGAAAATATTTTTCACGGAAAAAATTATCAATCAAACGGCACAAAAATGGAAATTTAGGTGGAAAAGGGACATTTTCCATGAAAAATATAGGTAATCAAACGCACCTTATAAAGTTGGAAAATGGAATTTTTCATGGAAAATTTTGGTGTATCAAACACACCCATATTCTTTCTGGAACAACTTATCTTTGTTTTGAGCAACAATTTTGATATACGGTGATAATTTTTTTTCCTTGTAATGGATATAACTGAAACTTTTGTAGCTTCTATTTGAAGTGCACTTAAACCTCTCTCTTAAGGTAAAATCATACTCTGCTTCATCCTAAATATGGTTGTTGCTTTCCTTTATTTATTTTTAAATAACTGTGTCTCTAAGTGAGTTGTTTTTGGATTTCAAATGATACTAAACTACTCTTGGTCAATAAAAGTTGCTACTTTTGGTCAATAGAGAATATTCTTGCAATTCAGCTAGGCGTATAGAAAATCAGTTGACAGAAATTTTCCAGATGAGCTGACCAAAAAAAAAAAAAAAAAGGAAAAAAAGTTTAACCAAATGTTAGATAAGCCAAGACAATACGAGCTGCCCCATTTCTCCCAACCTTTCACTTTCTCCCCACCTTTCACCAAAACCAATTTCCCACTAAATGGTCCTATCGATCGGAGAGAAATACTTTTACACCCCATTTCATACTAGTAAAAAGTCAATATTATTTATTCAAAGTCAAATGTTCGACTAGTCAAAGCCAAGGTCAATTAGGGACTTAAATGAAATTAATTATTTTATTGGGGTTCATTTTATGATTTAAGATATATGAATGTTTGAGATGGACATCATTTAAATTTGGGAAAATACTTATTAATTATTAGAAGTTAGATGACTTAGTAAGATATCATGTGAAGTTTGGAGGACATTATAGCAAAAAGGGTTTAGTTGATGGATTACAAGTGGCACCTTACAAGCCATTTCTTTCATTTTTCATAATACGTACATACACATAAAGAAGCTGGAAACGGGGGCAGAAACAGGGAGAAAAACCGACAAAAGAAAGAAAAAAAGAGAAGAAGAAAGAAAAGGAAGAGGAAGAAAAAAAAAATGATGGCACTACCAAGATGGTCCTTAAAGTTATTCCTTAATTTCTTCAGGTAAGTAAAAGATGTATTTATGGGAAATAATTCTTAAATTTAAGGTTTGTAAACAATTACTCATGTTTAAAGTTTGACAAGAATTAAAGATTATGAATATGTATTTCAGGTTATAACTAAATTATGGCAAAGAAATATTTAATTGTCAATTAGTGTTGAAGAAAGTGGAATTTGAGATGGGTTGTGAAAGAAATACACATTCTTTGAAATTCTTGGGATTATATGATGTTAAACACTTAAATTAAGGATTTGATGTTGAAATTCTCCATTTTCCTAAAGAAATTTTCGGATTATGTAATGAAGGTGCTATTTTCGAAATTTTCCCAGAAAAGTGTTAATTCTGTCCATATTTTGGTGACAGTTTTCAATATACAGAATTTGGTGTCGTAATTCAATATTGTGGAACTTTAGTGCCGTTTTTGTCAAACATTTGATTTTCAGATTCTAAAGGTTTGAATGAAGATATATGACAAATGTTAAAGCCTATGTATTGGAATTATTTATAGGGGTTGTGTATATACAAGCTAAGTTATACCATTTTTGTTAAACCCTAGAATTTTAATTAGATTCTAGAGTAAAGGTAGTTTGGGAAAATGATAGTTATCACGAAATATTCACTTGGAAGAATGGTTTTATGGAACAAAATGTAAATTTAATTGGTTGAATTATGGTTATTAGTTTTGCTAGATTGGAAGATGGGGTAGTTATTCTCATGATTAGAATAAAGGTTATTGTGAGGAATTAGCTTAAAGTGATTAAGGGAAATTGGGGGAAAATTATTCAAGTATCGAGAAATCAAGTTTTAGATTCGATCATCAATATTTAGAACTACTACTTAGCAGGATAGTGGTTAAATTAGTTATTTTACATTGTCTTTCAGGTGGTGGCAAAGAGATGGGAAAAACTTGTCGACCATCATAACCAGTAGCTTGTTTAGAGTGAGTGGATAAAACTTATTTTTCAGAAATAAGTCTTCTTTAAATTTTAAAGTTATTTATTTTATAAAGTTGACTTCATAGCATTATTTTCAGAATAAAATGGATTTTATTATCAATTGCTTTTATAGTTAAATTCAGTTCAGTTAAATTATTTTGAAAGCTTGTTATATTCTTATTACATGTTTCAGTACAGTTAAAGTTATTTCTAAAAACCACCAGAAAGTACCCAGGTGATTTTACCCCAGTTTGCACTGATGTGAATGTGTTTCCACAGTGTATGATTAGTTATAGTGATTTTACCCGCTCTGCACTATCGTGAATGTGTTTCCATAGTGTATGACCAGAATATCAGAGGTCTTTGGGACCCACTCTCGTACACACATAGGCTTTGGGCCGTGTACTAAGGTGATTAGCCTTTGGGGCAGCTCTGCGTACGTATGACCAGATTATCAGCTATCAGATTATCAGATTTGAATGTCTTTGCCTTGTACATCGAGATTACTCTATGCATGTGTAAGGCTATTAATTGGGTACTCTTTATGGTGTGATTTTTCAGAACTTATTCAGTTCTTAGATTTCAGATTATGGAATTCAGTTTTCAGAATAAAGCGTTCAGCTTCTAGTATAGAGCAGCAGCAATATTTCATAGATTTTCATGAATATCAGATTCTTTATAATTGTTATACCTTACATATACTTATCTAGAATTTAGAACAAAGAATTTTATGATGAAATTATGTTTAGTTTTAAAAGTGTTACCAGATTTTAGAATTTTTCAAAGTTTTGATAGAGCAAGAATTTTCAAAATATATGCATAAAAGAAAAATATGTTTATTTGTAAATTATCCACTCACTGAGCTTTAAGCTCATATATTTTTTCACATTTTTTCTTTATCAGACAGAAAACAGACAAATTGAGCAGTTTTGGAGCATGTCGAACCACCGAATTGAGCCATGCGTCATAGGTTGTATGACATCTTTTATCGGATTATACATTGTGTTCTTTTGGGATACACATAGGTTAAATCAGAAAAGTTCATTATGGGCTCATTAGATATTTGGTATCTTTAGTACTTTTGAAGATTATTGGTTGTAAAGCAAGTAAATATTGATTTCCTAGCATTATATTTGAATAGTTTGTATTTTTGAGGGTCTGGTATACCCTGATTTATATTATAGGTATTGATTTGAGAAAAATTGGTTATTGTTCAGGTAGTTTTAGTTTGTATTTTAGAGGAAATTTTGTCAAAATTCTGTTAAAAATATTTTTCAGTCAAACAAGTCAAAGTTGCCTTGGTGGTGGGTCCGGCGTTTAACTGGCATCTACCACCGGCACACGACACGTGTCGAGTCAATTAGGTTGAGTCGGGACGGATCGTACACCCATCAAGATTACGCCGTCGACTTGGTTTTCATCTCCAGCAAATTTCGCTTGATTGAACTATGAATAAGCCCAAGGTTTTCAGCTATATAACTATTACTCTTGCATAAACCCTAACCTCCTACCCATTTTGCCGTCGTAGTTGTGACTCTCTCCGGCCGGCGTCGTTCAGCGGTTCCATTGGGAGGCCAACATCTTCAGACCTTATCTCTAACCCATTTTGCGAGTAAAGTTTATTATTTGTTTCATATCCTCTGCACATTTCTTGGGAAGGTATTTTTTTTAGGTTTTTATATAATCTTCATGTTCTTGAAAACCTGTTAATCTGCAGCTTATGGCATGGTATGCGATGGATTTTTTTGTTCCGATTTAACTTTCATTATTGAATTTTTCATTATTTTGATATGTACAGAAAAATAGAGGCATTTATAACTTGTTGAAATTGGTCTTATCGAGTTTAGATGGTAAATTACTTTCATAATCTATTTGTTTAGAAGTATTAAATCACTATATTTGGCTAGAGAAAGTGAAATGAGAGCACATTTAAATTGTGATTCATATGGTCTGTTTTTCTGGTGATGATAGTATCCCATTTCAATTTTGATGATTTTCGGTTATACCTGTAAGTGCAAGTAGAAGTCGTTGCTGGAATGTTCTTTGAATTTTGATGATTTTGATGGAATTGGTCCTATCGAATTTAGAAGTCATTGCTGGAATGTTCTTTGAATGATTTTCTGGTGATGGAATGTTCGTTGCTGGAATGATTTTCATATCAATTTTGATTATTTTGATGGTCTGTTGCTGGAATGTTCTTTGAATTCTACGTTGGATGGTAGAATTTATTTGTTGGATTCCTATGGTGGTATAGAATGTTGCTTAAGTTTTTATCGAGTTGTTTTTTCGGGATCTCTATTTCATTTTAGTTTGTAATGAAATCCTCTAAATATAGTTTGCCGCATAGGGATGAGAGGAAGGAATTATGGTGTTTGTCACAGTTGTAGAAGCACAAATTGCCAAGCATGTTCGAACATCTAGCTCAAAACGCCAAGAAATGAAACTTCGAGATTTCGTTGAACGTGACATTCTGCAAAGGAAAAGAGCCCTCGAATGATAATGGAGGTTGCATTATTTATTTATTTTTTGATCGGTAAATGTAAATATATAGATAAAAAATGTACCATGTACAAATACACCGGGCATACCCGGGCGAGACAATGTCCATAATCAAATACAAGTACACCGGGCATATCCGGGCGAATCAAAATCAATGATAAGTACAAGTACACCGGGCATTCCCGGGCAAATCAAAATCCAAAATCAAAACAACTACTCCGGGCATATCCGGGAGACACAAAGAAGGCAAAATACATAAGAGATCAATGATCCACGGCCAAGGATTCAAAAAGAATCAAGACATTCGGATATAAAGTAAACATGACTTTGTATACGTGTGTCTTGATCCTTCTAACAATAGAATCCAAGTCGGCCGGGAGGTTTTCAAAAATCTTCCTATTCCTCGTAAGCCATATGTAGTAAACTGTGCTAGCATATGGTATCATGAGTAAAATGCAATAACTCTAGCAAGCACTGTCAGCAATAACTCGGCATTAAGATGGATTAGAATACAAATATGGAACTCAATTTTTAAGCAAGAATAGAAATGTCGATTTTTATCTACAGGAAAGGACATTAACATGAAAAGTTGAAAACTTGGTTACTTATAAAATCTGTGCAAGGAATTTTTATGATCTGCCTAAATTATTCTATGCATCTTTCGGTGACACCTTAGCAGTCTATCTCACATTTTTCTATCCAATTACTCACATATGAAATGCATATCGTGTAGAGCTCTTAATTGCACAGCTCTTTCAAATCCCCGACATTTTCTTCAAGAAAGGATTAAAGCATTTAGAACCCAATAAGAATGGTGGGGGGGGGGCTAGTCAACAAGCAATAACATTACTTGACATCCAACAATAACTACACATTACTTGCCATCAACAATAACTCAGCATTACTTACCATCAACAACAACTCACTAGTCACAAAAAGGAATCTGTAAAAGATTGGCATGAAGTATTTCACAAACATTACTTACCATCAACAATAACTAGATATTAGAACAATAATTACCGTCAGCTAAAAATGCTAAACTAGCCAAATATCAGCCCTTGACAAAGAAATCAGGTCTTCTACGCGAACTAAAAAATTAAAAACAGAATACATAACCAGCCAACACTTTTTCCTTCCTTTTTTTCGAGAATCGGTGAGGGGGTGTCCCTTTTGTAGGATGTAGGTGAAATACAGATTTGGCTATTGCCGGAGTTGGGCATCACCATTTTCATGGTCGAGGAGTGTGGGCTTCGATTTCGGGGAATGTCGAGCAGTGAGGGCTTCTATTTCACCTTCACTGGATTTCGGGATTTCGTCTTCACCGGCGCTTAATTTCACGAGTAGCTCCGGTGAGGTAGGCGGGCCGGCGAGGGTGGGGGAATATACTTTGACGGGACTTCTCTGGCTTCTCCACGTGATGTGCTTTCCGCTTTCCCTTATGTTTCGGATTGGATATGTTTCGGATTGGACGATCATTTCAAAGTCAAAGAAATCTGCTCCCAATTCGTCACCTGAGGAGCACGTTTTTCCTAAAATTCAAACTTCCGCAAATTTTCTGTCAGGCCATTATGTACAAGAGGCTGTAGTGATATTCTTATGGTGAAAAAGACAATAAAGATAAACGTAAAGCATATAAAGTTTTTCCTTGAACCGTGAGAAAGTGATTCTCGTGGGTAAAGGACAAAAGAAAGGGGTTAAAATAAGAATAAATTCTCTGAATTAGGTGGGTCGACTGAGTTCAATACTTCATAACACTAAATTTGGTTGGTACAATGAATTGAATTGTGCTTATTTCCATCTCTGTTCAATATAAATCCGCCAATTTCTAATTTAGCCATGTTTGGTATAGATTTTTTTTCAAAATGCATTTTTCTTTCTCTCTTCTTTTCAATCACATTTTTTATTAAAATAATATTACACGTAAATAAAAAAAATTTCTTATTTTTCAACCACACACTTCCAATCAAGTTACTATTCTAAAATATATTTTTATATAAAAATGACTTTTAAACACCCTCTTAATATGTTCGGATATTTTATATATGAATTTATAATATTTTATGTATAGATTTATTCCAAAAAATTGGGGATAATACATCTCACTTTACATCACATGTTCTTATAGTTACTCTACTTAGGATCTATGCCTTTGATTTTTTTTTTTTAACGAGGTGTCCCAACTTGCGCCAGACTATATATCTTCGTCCCTGAACCTCCGGTCCCTTAGCTGCTCAGGAAGGTAAATCGCAGGATATGCCCTTATTGGTTCCCAAGTTCCCATATGGCTTTTACTCCTTCCCCAAAGGAAGCCTCCTCCATGGTGATTAATCCACCAATAATTCCTCCTTTATTGGATCAAAGGTTCCCACCAGGAATCGAACTCCCCACGCTTGGTTCCAGAACCCCCCAATGTGATTGTTCCGCCAACTTGGATGTGCCCTGGGGGGCGCCTTTGATTATATTAATGGTTGCGCCTTCAGTAGGGATTTGATTATACTAACATGTTGAGTTATAAGAATTTGGGGCGTTTTGGGTCCTTTATTTAATTTTTAAATAACTGTCTCTAAGCGAGTTATTTTTGGATTTCTTTCTTTCTTTTGCATTGGTCCATGGAAAAGGCAATCGACATTAAAATTCTGAACTGCACAAGTATGATGCAGTCCCTTCTTTCCGATGACATTAAAATCATGAATTCTGCAAGTTCTTCGGTTACAACGCCTTGCGACTAGGTCCACAGGGACGGATTTAGGAGCAGACTAGCTGGGTTGTAGTTCCTCCCACCTAGTCCAATTAAAATTTTTTTAGGGTAATTTTTTTCCCTTTTTTTATTTGTAACAACAGATTTTTATTGAGTAAATTCTTTTTTCTCGTATTAGTCCGATTTAAAATTTTTTTAACCTGATCTTAAATTCAAACTTAGATCTGTCCCTAGACTAGGAGGACATAAGATTCTCTTTTGCAAATGATACTGAACTATTCTCGTCGTGAAAAGGACAATAAAGATATACAGTTTTTCCTTGAACCCTGAGAAAGTTATCAGCGAGTCTCGTGGGTAAAGAACGAAGGACAGAAGAAAGCGTTTGGTGGGTCCACTGAATTCAATAAGAATAAATTCTCTGAGTTTGAATTCAATACTTCACAGGAACACTAACGCCCTGTTTGGTAGGGATTTTTTGCTCCAAAAAATTAATTTTTTGACCGTTATTTTACTATTCAAATCGTAATTTTTGACTTCTTCTCTCACATGTGAATCCCACTTTTCTTCTACCGGTCAAAAAATCAATTTTCAAAATCTCTACCAAACGAGTCCTAAATTTGGTTGGTAAAATGAATTATTACCATTTCTATTCTATATAAACCCTACAACTTCTAGCATTCGGTGGGTTCACTGAATTCATTTGTGCTTAGATTCGGAATTGGAAGATAAGGGCCAGAAGTTTATGCGAAGTTATCTGAAATCGGCAGGTACACTGAATTCATTTGTGTTTAGAACAATGGAATTATATTTTTTTGCATTGACGAGATTATCCAATAAATTTAGTGAATTCAAACAAAGATTTTGCATCCTTTTATATTGATTTTGATAGTTAAACTTGTAAAATCTTAATACAGAAATACTTATTACAATTTTAAATAAAAAGATTTCTATATTGAGTAGATTATCCATAAAATATTGTTTACATAACTTGAAAAGTCATGCTTATGTTCGATCTTATATATATATATATAGAGGAAATAAACTGCGTAAAACTTTCAATGTCTTTAACGTTCATTGGGGAAAATACAAAAAAATATAATTCATTTGTATCTTATTATTGTGAATGGGAAGATATTTTGTTCAACTAATCAGGTAATGTATTAATTTATGTTTAATATCATGTTTCCAACCAACTTGTATAGATTGGATAATTTCTTAATATATCATTTGTGTTTATTTTGAGTATATATAAAGATGGAAAAAAATATTCTATCATATATCCTCAGAAACTCTTAATCTTGATTTAAGAGAGCAATTTGTAATATAAACATTTCAATAGAAATTTATTTTCAATCTTTAGTTCCCAACCTCTCTTTCCAATAAAGGGAAAGTACATTCATAACCCCACTTTTTCCCAATTATAATTATCCCTAATCCTCCAAGAAGGATAGCCCAGCTTGCAGCTCAATATATCAAAACAGATGCACAAATGGCTAAATATAATCCCACACGCCATAAGTAAGAATTGAAAAAGAGGGGGAAAAAAAAGGGTAGAGAAGAAGTTACCAATTCCCTCGATTCTTTAAACAAATTTCCTCACGAGACTCATTTAAAAATTCAAAAATATACATGGAACCCTTGAAAAATTAAAATGTATCATTTCTACAAATCCTCCGCACGATGCCTTATTTCCCTGCCTTTTAAGGCATCCATTTTGCTGCCTTAAGAGGCATTTTAGGCAGCTGACTATATTAATAAAAAAATCGAGCCTGTCCCGCTTGGCCCATATCGGTTCTACCTACTGAATACTGGACAGTCGTAATGCAGCGAAGCCTCTACCAAGGCCACTAAACCTGAATTGGAGAGAGCGACTAGCCCATTTAAGGAACCATACGTTACGCATTTAATTAAAACTCGTAGGGAAGTACACGTCATGCATTCCTGGTCTCAGGCCTTAAATGCGTGACGTGTGCTTCCCTACGAGTTTTAATTAAATGCATGACTTGTGCTTCCTTAAATGGGTTAGATGCTCTCTCCAATTCAAGTTTAGTGGCCTTGGTGGAGGCGCTGTTGCATAGCGACTGTCCAATATTCAGTAGGTAGGGGTTTATCCTGGGGAGGGATTTTTTTCCAGTAGGTAGGGTGTTAGTTAAAATTGAATTTTAAAGAAAAGAAATTGACCATCCAACTATGTAATTAATTTTATTTTTTTTTAAAAGTCTCAAATAAATTATTTAATGAGAAGGCATGGAAAAAGACATGTTAGTTAACAAATTATTAAAAAAATTAATTTTTTTTGAAAAAATTAAAAAGTGCAAATGAGTCTAGAATGAAATCAATTTTCTTTAATTTCATTATTATTTAAAATTCGTAAAAAGAAAATTTAAAAAATAATTTTCTTTAGTTTTCTTTTTTATTATTATTTAAATATAAGGATATATTTCGAGCATGAGCATCCGATTGGGTCCACCACTTTTTTGACAATAGAACGGCAATTCAACTCGTCGGCTCGAACCAAGCCACATTTAGGGGAAACAGGCATAGCGCGAGCCAGCTCGGGCTCGGGCCTTAAAGGCGTGATGTGTGCTTCAACCTTAACTTCATCCCGTGCTTTCCTTTCTGGAGAAGAGTTTGAAAGAATATGTACAAAATCATCTTGTAAAATACAAATCGTAGCCTCATTTTGGTCTTCTTTTGAATGATTTTTACCTTTCTCTCACATTTACTCTTAATTATGAGTTTCTTTTGGTTATTTGATTTGCAGCTTTATTTCAAGTGTTCAAAAGATCAAGAAATTGCAACCTGGATGGGAGATTAATGAACTAAGGTATGTCAATTTCATAGTTGTTCCATTCGAAGCATATTTGTTTCTTCATGTTAGCTTTGTTTAATTTTTCCAATTCATTCAAGTGTCCATTTCTCATGATTTCCACTTCGAATCTTGGGCATAACTAAGGTATGTCAATTTCATAGTTGTTTCATTTTTCATAGTTCTTTCATTTTAGTATTATCTGTTCCTTTTAGTTAGCTTTTTTAATGGTGTTAATAATTTTATTTTTTAGTTAATTCTATATATTAATATTTATGGACTTAATAAAATATGTCATTTCAAGTAAATTATATATACAAATAGCATTATCGTAATTTTTTTTTAATTTTATGTAATAATATTTTTATTAATTGTGTACTAATAATTAGTAATAATAGTATTTAGTGGAAATTAATTGTCTTAATTTTTGAAAGAAATAATAATTTTTAATTGTCTTATTTAGAAGTTATAAATTGAATATTAAGGGTATTGTTCACCACCAATATTAAAACGAAAAAGTAAAATGTGAAATCGAATGTTTATCATCTCTTCACACTTAGATTATTGAAAAATGATTTTTTGAATCATATTTTATCAAATTAATATAAATTAATGGTGATTAAAGAGTTGATGGATTATTATAAAATGACTTTTTATCTAATACTTATTAAGTAAACATTAGTTAATGGGATTTTTTTTTAACTATTATGTTTTATTTTCAATGAAATCTAATAGGAATGCACTATTCTTTTAATCAGTAATATTAGGTTTAAAAAAAATTTTAAGTGTACATATAATTTTATTGTTTTTATATATCTTATATATTAATATTAATTGATTTAATAATCTATGCCATTTTATGTTAATTATATATGTGGTATTGTTATAATTTTTATTTTGTTTTTAAATTAAGTTTTTATTAATCATATACTAATAATTAGTAATAATAGTGTTTAGTGGTAATTAATTCACTTGACTTAAAAGATAGATAATTTTAATTTTAATAATAATTGAATTTAGTTGATATAATTTTAATTTTAAGGATATTATTGGCCATAAACATAAAAATATAAGGGTAACTTGGAAAATTAAATATATGAGGATAAATAAGGGCATATTGGACTTAATGCTAAATAAGTAAGGTTATAATTGGTAATCAAAAGTTTCTCCTCAATCCACACTTTTAATATATTGTAGATAAATTATGGTATTTTATATTTTTGTTGAATCTATTATCTCTTATTTTTACTTTTGGATTTCAGTGAAAGATTTATGTTTTATTAGGGATGGCAACAAGGCTGGTTCAGGACGGAGCGTCCTCGCTCGCCCCGTCTCACCCATACCCCTCCCCGTCTTGTATAGGGCAAGGAAGAGACGGGACAATTTTTTGCCCCGATTTATTTTTTTAATTTTATTAATTTTTATTATTTATACATTTTCAAAGTTTCGGGGCGGGCGCGGATTTTTTTGCTATCACTATGCTTTATAATTTTTTGGTGGCCGATTCTTTTGTAAAGTGAGTCTTAGAATGAAGAAACACCCGATATCCCCTCTACTATAAAAGAGAGGATGATAAAGCACTATTCATTTTTGGTACCTTGCTTTCACATTTGAACCAGGTTGAAATATTGCCTCTTCCTAGTTAAATATACTAATTTTAGAAGGGTCAAGAAGATTGGAGAAGGGTAGGGCCTCCAACAAACAATTGTGACAATTTAGTTACTTGTATTAAAACGAATAAGAGTGGTGAATTTGAGCTTTTCACGAGTTCAAAATAAAATTATTAAAGTTAATTTTATAAAAAAAAGGTGCAAACCGAAATGGATCTAGGATTGGATCCATGACCAAACTACAACTCGAAAAAAATTTTACACGTAAAAAAACTATTTTTACCAAAAAAAAAAACCTTAATTTTTTTTGGGGGCCTTTAGGAGCTCCAGTCCAGTCCCCCTGCATCCGTCCTTGTGTGCAAACGAATCCTAAATAAATTATTAGAAAATTAAAAAGTATTTAAAAAAAAAAGTGCAAACGAATCCCAAATAAATTATTAAAGGTAAAATTTATATTTTAAAAAGTGTAAACGAGTCCCAATGAAATTTATTAAAAAATTAAATTGTTTTAAAAAACTAAAATTACAAACGGGTCCCAAATAAATTACTAAAAAATTAGAAAGAAATGAATTAATTTTCTTTGACGTACTTGCAACCATAGTCCCCAAGTATTTTTAAAAAGCGCAAACTAATCCTAAATGAATTGCGAAAAAGTTAAAAATAAAGATCTACCGTTTCACTCAAAAGGTAGATTTACTATTGAACACAAACCCCACTTTTTTGTTGATTTTTACGCCATGATTTCTTCAGAACACCGGAATTTCTACATCGTGATTTCTACGAATGAGGAGAAATTTTTCAGACAGTGTACCGTGATTCCTTTAAGAATCTATATCTCTTGGCATTTGTTGTGTAAGTTTTCGAACGTTTGATCTCTGTGTATATGTTCTCAACCTTATTCTGTGCATATGATCTCTTCAATTATTTTTTTGTGTTAAGGGTTTAAGAACTTTGAGCTAGTTTGAATTTTTTCTTTAGTTTTTTTTTTTTTGGCATCTCTTCGATTATTCTGTGCAAGGATTTCTACATCATGATTTATATGAAAGAGGGGAAATTTTTAGACAGTGTACCGTGATTCCTTTAAGAATCTATATATCTTGACATTTGTTGTGTAAGTTTTCGAAAGGTTGATCTCTATGTATATGTTCCCACCCTTATTCTGTGCATATGATCTCTTCGATAATTTTTTTTTTTTTTTTTTTTTTTTGTGTTGAGGATTTAAGAACTTTGAGTTAGTTTTATACTTTTTTCGATCTCTTCGATTATTCTGTGCAAAATCATAGCTTATGAAAAGGATGACCCCTTAAGATAAGAACAACTTTTGTTTTGTGTTGACGTTTCCTGAATTACTAAATCATTACTTTTCAATTTAGATCGAGCCCGAAGATGAGCTTGTTCTTATGGCTCTCGCTGGTATCTTAACTTGCTTCATTCTTATTCTGTCTTTCTTGAAAAGAACGAAAGAAATTACACTTTATTTTGTAGATTGTTGTTTCCTTAAGTTACACTTTAAACATTTTTTCATTTTGACAAGTCATAATATTATTTTGTCCTAATGTTTATGATTTGAATTTTACAATTGACAGAAAAAATGTACAAGAATAGAACACATCTAAGGCTACTAAAAGAATATCAACCAGCCAACGTTGTCATCCAGAGATTGGGAGGCACGAGTTTCGATCTCATCCATAGAATTAATATGGACTGTAGGATGACGTTTGATTTTTTACTAGCATTAGTAGATCATTATTCTATCGAGCTATCGTATTTTTTCATTGGAGAAGAGAGGATAATTCCGACATTGGATGACGTGGCTAGAATTACGGGGTTCTTCATTGATGGCATGCCAGTAATGGGGCATGATTGCACAGCAGATAAATACCCCAATATCTGCAACAAATTATTGTTATCTCCGAGGCTTCTTCATAAGAAGAACAGATGTGATATAATTCTTAAGAAATTACTATATTTTAAGGACATTCCCCTAGTTTTGTCGAGGAGGGACTTGACCTCTATGTTAGGGCATATATCATTTATGTTATTGAATGTTTTCTTGCTCCCCCAAGGGACCATTCATAGGTGCCCTACATGTATCTCTCTTTATTGAGGGGTGTTGATGCTATTTGAAATTATGCATGACGAGTTGCATTATTATGTCAACTGCATCACAGTTTGACAGAATTCAAAAGGGTAATAATTGGCTAGAAAAATCCAAAAATTATGAGTTTTCGTACTCCTTTTCTCACGGTATATATTATTTTTATTTATTTCCTTCATTGCTATACTTTATATAAGTTAATAATTTTTAACTTACATTTTTCATTTGTTTGTAGTTTTTCTTCTATGAACACATGCATATAATTCCTCGCACTCTCTATAACGTGGATATTTATAGAGAGAATTGTGAGGATAGAGAGTTGTTTTTGACATTTCCATTAATGGTTGGATGGTCTCATTCGTTGGAACGCAAGTCCAAAATTTCTATATCAAAAAGAAAACAGAGGAATTTGATTTGATGCTTATGAGTGACAATGTAAGTTTATTTTATTAATGTGAATTTTTAGTTACTTTACTCTAATTTTCTTTTGTTTTCAATTAACTTTATGTTATTTTCTCTCGTTAGATTGTGTGGCTGTCATATGCAAGATTGTCGAACGACTTTCTGCCCCAATATCTTGTTGGGTAGATAGATTTTAGACTTTCCCACACAATATTGATATGCTTTGAAAAATTGACATATCATAGGCCAGATTTGTGCCCACTTAAATGGAATTTGTTGGCTGATATTATTCCACTCGAACTATCGCTGCCAATAGTTAACAAGAAGCGCACCGCTTTACAAAAATTTGATTGGACTGTGAGGCACGCGAATTTTATAAAGAAGTGGGATGAGAGGAGATTAAATTTGATTATGAACAGAAATGATAATTTATTTATTTTATCCTTTTTTTAGCTTGTTAAATTTTATTTATGTTTTAAACTAAACGTGTTCTTTTTGTGTTTGGTAGATGCGAATGAGAGTAAATGGGCTTCTAATGTTATTTTTCCTTTTTTTTCTGTTTGTTAAATTTTATTTATGTTTTAAACTATTATTATTCTTTTTATATTTGGGGTAGATGATGAAAATCAAACTCCAATGATGTCCAGAGGAGTTGAAAATAATCTGGGAGATGGCTTTCATGGAGGGGCCAACATCACTGATGAAGGGCCTAGCCAGGAAACTGAGGTTCATGAAGTCACGTTGAATATCAAACTCCCGTTGGGCAGTATGAAGTAAGTCTCAATTATTTTGTGGATAACTTTCATGGTCTAAGTCTTGGTACTTATGGTGGGGCCAATACCATTGATGGAGGGCCGAGCCAAGAAATTGAGGTAGGCGAAAGTCACAATAAAAAAAAACTCTTACGATGCAGTATGAAGTAAGCCCTAATTTTGCTGTAGATGCGGATGACATGAGGCTTGGCAAGAGAGCAAAGATAACCCCTTCATTGCTTGGTCTATATGAGGTTAATTCAGCCATCCGTTAAATTAACAAACATAACAATTGAATGGGAAGAAGTGGTAACCATTATTTCATCCCTTTAGATATAACAATCATTTCTTATGAAATTTCTTGTGTTGATGTTTTATTTTTTGTGTAAAATTTTGAAGGTTATAATTTAATTAGAATGACATGTTTTGATTTGTATGAGAAGAGTAGATGATGAAGATCAATAATACAGTGTAGTAGAAACTAAACACAATTGTGTTTTGCCTACACAAATGAGAACGTTTCAATTATTTTCAGACTTCCATGACAATTGGCAAAGCTAAAATTAGTGGTGACGGTAGGAATTAAAAAGAAAGGAAAAAGGAGAGTGCAATGAGAGTAATTGAATTTGTGTTGATGATTATCTTGCATATAGCAGAGAATAGATTTCACCGTCACATGCCAAATGAGGCACTTTTGAAGAGAGATAAATGTGCAGCAAAGCATATTTAATGGAAACAGAAGCTTAGAATCAGATTTGATCAGCAGCTCCAGTAGCAGGATAAAACTTTCCATCCTCATGTCTATGCAGGCTTCAGTCCGACTTCCATGACAATTGGCAAAACTAAAAATCAGTGGTGACTGTAGGAATTAAAAAGAAAGGAAAAAGGAGAGCGCAGTGAGAGTAATTGAATTTGTGTTGATGATTATCTTGCATATAGCAGAGAATAGATTTCACCCCACATGCCAAATAAAGCACTTTTGAAGAGGGATAAATGTGCAGCAAAGCATATTTAGTGGAAACAAAAGCTTAGATATAGACCTGATCAGCAGCTCCAATAGCAAGATAAAATAGTGGAAATAAAAGTTTAGATACAGACCTGATCAGCATCTCCAATAGCCGGATAAAACTTTCCACCCTCATGTCTATGCAGGATATGTACAAAACCTACCAAAATGGATATAGATTACCATAAGATTAAAAAAAAGAGGAAGTGGATGAATACACTAAATATCTTCCATGATAGATGAACAGAAATAAGTAGCAAACCCATCCTTACAGTTGACCAATAACTTTCCACCAGAAAGAGCATTGCACAATTATGTCATTTCTGCATAGCTAGCAGGAGCAACCTGAACAAATCCTCATATTTAACCAGGGAAATTAAGGGAGGAAAACCAGAAGCATTGCAATTCTGGGACAAGATATTTATCATCGATTTGAAAGCAAAAACCAAATGACATGCGATTTATACCCAAATACAAGTTAGTGAAAACTTTAGATGCTTTGGTAACTGGGGAACGCCATTTCAAACAACATGACAATTGGCAAAGCTAAAGGGAAAAATGGATATAGATTACCAGAAGATTTAAAAAAAGGGAAGTCTAAATATCTTCCAAGATAGATGAACAGAAATTAGCAGCCAACCCATCTTCACAGTTGACCAATAACTTCCCACCAGAAAGAGCACTACACAATTATCTCATCTATGCATAGCCAGCAGGAGCAACTTGGACGAAATCCTCACATTTAACTAGGGAAATTAAGAGAGGAAAACCAGAAGCGTTGCAATTCTGGGACAAGATATTTATCATTGATTTGAAAGCAAAAACCAAATGACATGCAGCATCAAATCAGTTGATATGATAGTGAAATCTCGGGCAAACTCTGAAGCTACATATCATTGTAACTTAAACATTATCAGCCATAAGAATGCACGCGAACATCAAGTATTACAAGATCTGAAAATAATTGCAACGTCCTCATTTGCGTAGACAAAATGCAATTGTGTTTAGTTTCTCCTACACTGTATTATTAACCTTCGTCACCTACGCTTTTCATATAAATCAAAACATGTCATTCTAATTAAATTATAATCTTTAAAATTTTACATAGAAGATAAAACATCTACACAAAAAAATTCCATAAGAGAAGATTGATATGTCTAAATAGATGAAATAATGGTTACCACTTCCTCCCATTCAATTGTTATGCTTGTGAATTTGATGGATGATTGAATCAACCTCATATGGACCAAGCAATGAAGGGGTTATCTTCACTTTCTTGCCACGCCTCATGCCATCCGCATTTACAGCAAAATTAGGGCTTACTTCATGCTGCATCGTAGGAGTTTGTTCTTCATTGTGACTTTTGCCTACCTCAGTTTCTTGGCTCGGCCCTCCATCAATGGTGCTGGCCCCTCCATAAGTACCAAGGCTTAGACCATGTAAGTCATCCACAAAATAATTGAGACCTACTTCATACTGCTCAACGGGAGTTTGATATTCAACATGAATTTCATGAACCCCAGTTTTTTGGCTAGGCCCTTTATCAGTGATGTTGGCCCCTTCATGAAAGTCATCCCCCAGATTACTTTAAACTCCTCCGGGCATCATTGGAGTTTGATTTTCATCTACCCCAAACATAAAAAGAATAATAATAGTTTAAAACATAAATAAAAATTAGAAAACAAAAAAAACAAGGACAAATACCATTCGAACCCCCTTGATTCTCATTCGCATCTACCAAACACAAAAAGAACACGTTTAGCTTAAAACACAAATAAAGTTTAACAAACTAAAAAAAGGATAAAATAAATAAATTACCATTTCTGTTCATAATGAGATTTAATTTCCTCTCATCCCACTTCTTTATAAAATTCGCGTGCCTCACAGTCCAATCAAATTTTTGTAAAGCAGTGCATTTCTTATTGATTATCGGCGTGATGGTTCGAGTGGAATAATATCAGTCGACAAATTTCACTTAAGTGGGCACAAATCTGGCCTATGATATGCCAATTTTTCAAAGCGTATCAATGTTGTATGGAAAAACCCAACATCTATCTGTCCAGCAAGATATTGAGATAGAAAGTCGTTCGGTAATCTTGATATGGCAGCCACACAATCTAACGAGAGAAAATAACATAAAGTTAATTGAAAACTAAAGAGAATTATAGTAGAGTAATTAAAAATTCATATAAATAAAATAAACTTACATTATCATTTGTAAGCGTCAAATCAAATTCCTCTATTTTCTTTTTGGTATAAAAATTTTTGGACTTGCGCTCCACCGAATGAGACCATCCAACCATTAATAGAAATGTCAAAAACAACTCTCTATCCTCAAAATTCTCTTTATAAATATCCACTTTATAGAAAGTATGAGGAATTATAGGCACGTGTTCATAGAAGAAAAAACTACAAACAAATAAAAAATGTTAAGTTAAAATTTATCAACTTACATAAATTATAGCAATGAAGGAAACAAATAAAAATAATATATACCATGAGAAAAGGAGCACAAAAACTCATGATTTTAGGATTTTTCCTGCCAATCATTGCCCTTTTGAATTCTGCAAAGCTGTGATGCAGTTGGCATAACAATGCAACTCCTCATGCATAATTTCGAATAACATCAACATTCCTCAATAAAGAGAGATACATGCAGGGCACCGATGAATAGTTCCTTGAGGAAGCAAGAAAACATTAAATAACATAAAGGACATATCCTCTAATACAGGGGTCAAGTCCCTTCTCGACAACATAAGGGGAAATGTCCTTAAAATATAGCAATTCCTTAAGAATTATATCACATTTATTCTTCTTATAAAGAAACCTCGGAGATAACAATAATTCATTGCAGATATTGGGGTATTCATCTGTTGTGCAATCACGCCGAATTACTGGCATGTCATCAATGTAGAACCCTATAATTCTAGCCATGTCGAGGTTATCTTCTCTTCTCCAATGAAAAAACACGATAGCTCGATAGAATAATGATTAACTAATACTAGTAAAAAATCAATCGTCATCCTATAGTTCATATTAATTCTATGGATTAGATTGAAACCCGTGCCTCCCAATCTCTAGAGGACGACGTCGTTTGGTTGCCATTCTTTTAACAGCCTTAGATGTATTCTATTCTTGTACATTTTCCTGCCAATTGTAAAATTCAAATCATGAACATTTGGACAAATAATATTATGACTTGTTAAAATGAGAAAATGTTTAAAGTGTAACTTGAGGAAACAACAATCTGCAAAATAAAGTGTAATTTCTTTCATTCTTTTCAACAAAGACAGAATAAGAATGAAAAAAATTCAAGACACCAGCGAGAGAAGCTTGCAAAGATTAGTTGTCAATCAGATAATGAAGTTACTAGTCCAGATCCTTATTCAAATGTTACTTGCTTGGACATTTTAAACAATATGGAAGGGGTGTCCAATGAGGTTTACGTGAAAGTAATAAAGGCTTTCAAGGATCCCGATTTCAGGGTGTTATTTGTGAAGATGCCAGAAGCAAGGAGATGACCTATCTTGGAACTACTTTAAAGTACCACTTTAAACTCGAGGCTTGAAGTACTTTTTTCCCCCATTTTGTGGTGATGTTGTACTGTTTTCATTTACAAACATTGTGATGTTGTTGGTTGGAGAACTGATGTTTATGTTTTCACTTTTTTAATGCTTGATTGCTTGTTTTATTGAATTAATAGTGTTGATATGACTTATGATAATTAATTTGGTTATAATTTATTCACATTATGGCTAGTGAATCAAATGTGGATGATAATTTGCATGTCGATGAGTACATTGAGAAAGAATCAAGTGATGATGAGTTGTTATATATGGATGATGTTGATGCAAATTTTGGAAAGTTAATGGTGCTTAATTACTTTGTTGCCAACAAAGGAAGTATCAATGGCAAGACACCTTGTAGAACATCATTTCTTACAAGAAAAATGTACACCCTAGAAATTTTGAATGGACATCCGGACGTATGCTATCGTAATTTCTGTATGCAGAAACATGTTTTCATGAATTTATGTGACATTTTGAAAGAGAAAGGTTTACTGAAAGATGAGAAAAAAGTGAGCGTCGAGGAGGGTGTGGCTATCTTTATGATGATTGTAGGGCACACTACACGATACAATGTTATTGGTGATAGGTTCCAACATTCCAACAACACGATACACAAATGGTTTAAACGAGTTGTTAGGGTTGTTATCTCAATTGGCACTGAGATAATCCGTCCGACAAATCAAGACATCGTGCATGAGCGTATTTTGCGCAAATATCCTTTCTTTAAGGATTACATAGACGCAATAGATGGAACATATGTTGCAGTTTGGGCTCCTGCGTTGAGACAATCATCTTTTAGAGGAAGGAAAACAAATGTAACACTAAATTTGATGTTGACATGTGATTTTGATATGAAATTCACATTTGTGTATTGTGGTTGGGAAGGTACTGCTAATGATTCACGAGTATTCGTTGATGCAGTCATAAGAAGCTCGAACAACTTTTCAATGCCATGAGGAGGTACATTCTTATACATCAAATAATTGTTGCGAATATATTTATAGTGTCACACTGTATAAGCCTTTTATTTTTTTTTTGCAAATCAATTTTACCTTGTTGATTCTGGATATCCAAACATGCCAAGATTTCTTGCCCCCTGTCGAGGTCATAGATATCATCTGTGTGACTATGTTGGACAGGGAAGACTACGTGGGAAGGAAGAATTGTTCAATTATTGACACTCTTCATGCCATAACATTATTGAATGTTGCATTGGAGTTTTAAAGGCAAGATTTCCTATTTTAATGTTGATTACCAATTATCCACTTAGTAGGTAAAGACAAATCCCTACTGCATGTTGCGCAATAAACAACTTTATACGTCAGGAGCACACTTTAGATAAGTTGTTCGTAGAGTATGGTGAGGAGAATATGGTGTTTCAAGACATGTCGGAGTCAAGTCAAGATCAAGAAGTAATACATTTTGATGCTAGTCAAGCAGCTCAATGGGACAAGTCAGGGATCAAATTGCTACACAAATGTGGAATGACTACTCAAGATGTCGTACATGATAGTTTGGATGTACTTTATATTTTGTTTAGTACCTGCTTGCCATAGCACGTAAACTTATAATAGTATCTAGTGAACTGTGCTACTAAAAAATATTTTAAGATTCACCAATTTCAAAATTTATGAGACTATTTGGTAGCCATTTTTACCTACCAAAAATTAATTATTCGAACGTTACCAACCACTTATCTGACAATCCCTACGTAATTATACAATAAACAATTTTTTCTCTTTTCCTCACAATAGTCCTCCCACTTGCCACCCTGACAACACATGCATGCATAAAAAGACACAATTTTTTTTTTCTTTTCTGCCATCCACTTTTCTGACAACCATGCATAAAATAATAGAAGTGAACTTTGAACATTGTATTATCTATCTAAAACAGTTACACAATTTCAGAACGTCGTTTTCACTGTCTAGGATGAAGAAAGTACTCGTTCTGACAAAGATCCATTGCAATCTTTCGTCTGTATAGTGACATCCTGTCCGTTGAAACTGTTTCTATCGGATACCCTAGAACGAGCATTCTATATATTTGAGTACAAACATTATGCAATTTGGTTTGTACAAGAAATGTTTATACGTTAGTGTAATGTGCCATAAACGAGAACTTAACAACGGTAATAAATAACAAGACTTGAAATGCTCACCCATTGTTTGCACATGGTAGATAAGGTATAATCTCCTGCTTTATTCGTTCCTTGATATGCTTATTTATATCTCGTTTGGTGGAAAGGGGTGAACATTGCAATAATTCTTGAACCATTGTGTATGTTGCGTTTGCGTGTGCCTTGATTGCATCTGGTGTGTGAACATTATTGATGCAGTCGTATATTTGGAATTTTCAATCAGGAATATTGACCATGAAAAGATAACATTCATTGCCTGGATATGAGCTTGGAATTAATAAATACTTGCACTCCATCCACGGACGACTATCTACAGGCAATCTACCATTGACATAGTCTTGTAGGCGCGTTCCATCCATTTCACCTCTCTGGTTTCCCATTCGAAAGTTCATTTACCACCTCATGTGACGAGAGCACTCCTCTTCGAATTAGAAGTCTAAAATTGCATATTGTTTATTGATAAGTGTACAACCTTCATTCATACACCACATTAATAACTTCAGCTCCAACTCAATATGTTATTAAAATAAATACATGTAACATATGTTAGACATATTAACTACGAAATCAAATTGAGTGTGGTTACTAAAATTTCGTACCGCAATATTCAGATCTTTCGTTCGATCTAGTAGCATTCTCAGCATGTTCCTTCCCTAGACGTTCCCACTGTCGTCGTCCAAGTATGCACTGTATGACACAATTGATATTAGTATCAAATAAATCAACACAAAATTTCTGGCGTTGCCGTAATAATGTTTAGCATTCGAACTCGTATGAATGAGTAAAATTTATTACCATGGTTCATCTGTCGCTATGAAATCTCTAATTGTCCTGTATTTTTTCATGTCGTAGTCTTCTAAGAGACGACTTGTCGATGATGAAGACTGTGTGCGTTTTCTCTTCCTTTCCCTTTTCTCTTCTCAACTTTTAAGCATGTTCGATTTGTTGAGACGTTGACGTCTCCTATTCATGATCAGTAGAATTTGGACTTGCATAAGGAGAGACATCTTGCTGCATGGGACCTATAATGGATTCCATGTTCGATTCCCAGTTAGATAATCTATTCTGCATATTCTCAGTATGTTCGTTAATGTATGATCTCATAGAACATAAACTGGAATCCACATAATACCGCATTTGCTCTTATTGCTGTTGAAATAATTCTTCTTGTCTTTACAGAACTGCCCGATAATAGGCTTCTTGTGTTTGCGATTTGTAGGCCATATGACTCTGAAACATACCAGACAAAGAATTATCTATGTACGAATGTAAATCATGTTGCATGTAATCTTGCAACGATTTGGTCTGTTCTTCGAACAGCAGCTTTTGGTTGTCAAAAATCGCGTGGTTTAAGGCTCTTGATTCTTCAACAAAGTCTGCTTTCAAGTTACCACATAGATCGGACACATTTGATATTGTATGCTGTCTATACATACTAAACATTTCTTCCAAACGGTCTTCAGTTACATATCTTGAGGTACCAGATGCAGAACTAGGCCCAGCTCCAATTGAAGTTCTCGGTGTACCACCACTTATCGCTTGCTGCGCACATATGTGATCCGATAATGGTTGTGCTACAATATCTAATTCTTCGTTGACAATGGCATCTAGTATACTATATTCATTGTCAGTTGGCAGTGACAAATTTGAGTACCACGGTGTTTCTAATTCTTCTTCAGTAGGTTGCAGCCCTGTAAGGACTTTAATTTGTAATCATCGTAAACAAGTTCGTCTCAGCAAATTTTTTAATGTCAAGTTTTACCAATTTAATGCGAACATCATTGAACATTGGAATTAAAAAGTCATACCTCTTCCGTATCCAGAAATTCTTTAACAATCGCTTCCTTCAATATTGTATTAGGCCTCCACTTGTACATTCGTGGAACCTATACCGTTTTGTACCTACGGCGTCCAAATTTTTGCTCGATCTGTGGAAATGCTTCATATATCCAATACTGCAATAGAATTACAGGTAAATATTGATGTATATAATATATTTTTTTACGAAAAAATTATACGGAATACAGGAATATTTAGAATATGAACAATATAGCTGAAATACAAGTGGATAGCCTTGTACTGCATACTTACATTCTGTTTGTCAGTTCTGTTGCATCCTTACCACTCATTTCAATTGCGACTTTTTCAACGAATTTAACAGAACGAAATATGTGGTATGGCACCATGGATACATAAGGAACGCATTAAGAGGTTCAACCATGCCCAACGTTCTATAATCAATTTTTCTTGAAGTCGGTTTCAACACACACTCCACCAACATAACTAGTCCCAACTTAAATTTATCTTCCTCGTCTTCGCACATATGGAAAGTTTCAAAAGGCATTCTATTGCTAATTATTTTTACTCCATTGAAGTATTGATCTCTAAGACGATCGTTACTATAGTCAATTTCAATGGATGGTTCATGACAAGGTAGTCCAGTAATTAGGCAAAATTCTTGCATGCCGAACCTAGCAACATGGTCATCTAACCGTACCTAAAGTTCATTATTTTTGCTAGAATGTACAATTCGCATTAAAAATTCGTGTACCAACTTACTACTAAATTGTTCTTATTGTTCCCTGAACATAGCTCCGTAAACAAATTCACAAAATTACTATACAGTAAAAAATATTGTTGATTGGTATCTATGAATTCTACAAAATCTTTAATGTATTCGCGATTTGGACATTGGACAATGGTAGCAGAAAACCACTGATTTGTCTAACAATATAATTTACAATCAATTGCACACTTTTTTTTACGTTCATTTTCTATATTGGGTTTTCGTAAACAAAATAATACATTCGTTTGAAAATATTCATTATTGTGTAATTTACGCATATGTCTTTAGAATACGTTCTCTCTCTAGATCAGTGGTTTTCCGCTACTATCATCTAGTGTCCAAATCGCGAATACATTAAAAATTTTGTAGAATTCATAGATGCCAATCAACAATGTTCTTTACTGTGTAGTATTTTTTGTGGATTTGTTTATGGAGCTATGTTCAGGGGACAACAAGAACAATTTAGTAGTAAGTTGGTACACGAATTTTTACTACGAATTGTACATTGTGGAAAAAATAATGAACTTTGGGTACGATTAGCTGACCATGTTGCCAGGTTCGGCATGCAAGAATTTTGCCTAATTACTGGACTACTTTGTCATGAACCATCCATTGAAATTAACTATAGTAACGATTGTCTTAGAGATCAATACTTCAATGGGGTCAAAAAAAATTAGCAATAGAACGCCTTTTGAAGCTTTCCATATGTGCGAAGACGAGGAAGATAAATTTAAGTTGGGACTAATTATGTTGGTGGAGTATGTATTGAAACCGACTTCAAGACAAATTGATTATAGAACGTTGGGCATCGTTGAACATCTTAATGCGTTCCTTATGTATCCATGGTGCCGTACCGCATATTTCGTTCTGTTAAATTCGTTGAAAGAGTCGCAATTGGAATGAGTGGTAAGGATGCAACAGAACCGACAAACAGAATGTAAGTATGCAGTATAAGGCTATCCACTTGCATTTCAGCTATGTTGATCATATTCTAAGTGTTCTTGTATTCCGTATAATTTCTTCGTAAAAAAATATATTATATACATCGACATTTACCTGTAATTCTATTGCAGTATTGGATATATGAAGCATTTTCACAGATCAGACAAAAGTTTGGACGTCATAGATACAAAACAGCACAGGTTCCACGAATGTACAAGTGGAGGCCTAATACAATACTAAAGGAAGTGATTGTTAAAGAATTTCTGGATACGGAAGAGGTATGACTTTTTAATTCCAATGTACAATGACATACGCATTAAATTGGTAAAACTTGACATTAAAAAATTTGCTAAGACGAACTTGTTTACGATGATTACAGATCGAAATCCTTGCAGTGCTGCAACCTACCAAAAAAGAAATAGAAACACCTTGGTACTCAAATTTGTCACTGCCAACTGACAATGAACATAGTATACTAGATGCTATTATCAACGGAGAATTGGATAATGTAGCACAACCATTACCGGATCACATCCGTGCGTAGCAAGCGACAAGTGGTAGTACACCAAGAACTTTAATTGGAGCTGGGCCTAGTTCTGTTTCTGGTACCTCAAGATATGTAACTGAAGACCGTTTGGAAGAAATAATTGGTATGTACAGACAGCATACAATATCGGATGTGTCCGATCTATGTGGCAACTTGAAGGCGGACTTTGTTGAAAAATCAAGAGCCCTAAACCACGCGATCCTTGACAACCAAAAGCTGCTGTTCGAAGAACAGACTAAATCGTTGCAAGATTACATGCAACATTGTTTACATTTGTACTAGATAATTCTCTATCTGGTATATTTCAGAGTCATATGGCCCACGAATCGTAAACACAATAAGCCCATTATCAAGCAGTTCTGCAAAGACAAGAAGAATTATTTCAACAGCAACAAGAGCAAATACGGTGTTATGTGGATTCCAGTTTATGTTCTGTGAGATCATACATTGACGAACATACTAAGAATATGCATAATAGATTATCTAACTGAGAATCGAACATAGAAGCCATTATAGGTTCCATGCTGCAAGATGTATCTCTACATGCAAGTCCAAATCCTACTGATCATGAACAGGAGATGTCAACGTCTCAACAAATCGAACATGCTCAAAGGTTGAGAAGAGAAAGGGAAAGGAAGAGGAAATACACACAGTCTTCATCATCGATAAGTCATCCCTTAGAATACTACGACATGAAAAAGTATAGGACAAATAGAGATTTCATAGCGATAGATGAACCAGGATAACAAATTTTACTCATTCTTCCTAGTTCGAATGCTAAACAATATTACAGCAACGCCAGAAATTCTGTGTTGATTTATTTGATACTAATGTCAATTGTATCATATAGTGCATACTTGGACGACGGCAGTGAGAACGTCTACGGAAGGGATATGCTGAGAACGCTACTAGATTGAACGAAAGATCTGAATATTGCAGTATGGAATTTTAGTAACAACACTCAATTTGATTTCGTAGTTAATATGTCTGATATATGTTACATGTCTTTATTTTATTAGCATATTGAGCTGAAGTTATTGAGGCGACGTATGAATGAAGGTTGTACACTTATCAATAAACAATATGCAATTTTGGACTTCCAATTCCAAGAGAAGTGCTCTCGTCACATTAGGTGGCAAATAAACTTTCGAATGGGAAATCATAGAGGTGAAATGGATGGAACGCGCCTACAAGACTATATCAATGGTAGATTGCCTTAGATAGTCGTCCGTGGATGGGGTGCAAGTATTTATTAATTTCAAACTCATATCCAGGCAATGAATGTTATCTTTTCATGGTCAATACTCCTGATTGAAAATTTCAAATATACGACTGCAGCAATAATGTTCACACACCAGATGCAATCAAGGCACACACAAACGCAACATACACTATGGCTCAAGGATTATTACAGTGTCCACCCCTTTCCATCAAAAGAGACATAAATAAACATATCAAGGAACGAATGAAGCAGGAGATTATACCTTATCTACCATGTGCAAACAATGGGTGAGCATTTCAACTCTTGTTATTTATTACCGTTGTTAAGTTCTCATTTATGGCACATTACACTAACGTACAAGCATTTCTTGTACAGGCCAAATTGCATAATGTTTGTACTCAAATATATAGAATGCTTCATTCTAGGGCATCCGATAGAAACAGTTTCAGCAGACAGGATGTCACTATACAGATGAAATATTGCGGTGGATCTTTGTCATAACGAGTACTTTCTTCATCCTAGATAGTGAAAATGACGTTCTGAAATTGTGTAGTGATTTTAGATAGATAATGCAGTGTTCTTAGTTCACTTCTATTATTTTATGCATAGTTGTCAGAAAAGTGGGTGGCAGAAAAGAAAAAAAATTGTGTCTTTTTATGCATGCATACGTTGTCAGGGTGGCAAGTGGAAGGGGTATTGTGAGGAAAAGAGAAAAAAATGTTTATTATATAATTACGCAGGGATTGTTAGATAAGTGAGTGGCAACGTTCGAATAATTAATTTTGAGTAGTTAAAAAATGGTTACTAAACAGCCTCATAAATTTTGAAATTGGTAAATCTTAAAATATTTTTTGCCAACACAGTTCATTAGATACTATTATAAGTTTACGTGCCACGACAAGCAGGCACTAAACAAAATATAAAGTACATCGAAACTATCATGTACGATATCTTGAGTAGTTATTCCACATTTGTGTAACAATTTGATCCTTGACTTGTACCATTTGAGCTGTTTGACTAGTATCAAAATGTATTACTTCTTGATCTTGACTTGACTCCAGCATGTCTTGAAACACCATATCCTCCTCTCCATACTCTACGAACAACTTATCTAAAGCGTTCTCCTGACGTATAAAGTTGTTTATTGCGCAATATGTAGTAAGAATTTGTCTTTGCCTACTAAGTGGATAATTGGTAATCAACTTCAAAATAGGAAATCTTGCCTTTAAAACTCCAATGCAACGATCAATAATATTACGGGATGAAGAGTGTCTATAATTGAACAATTCTTCCTTCTCATGTAGCCTTCTCCGTCCAACATAGTCACGCAGATGATATCTATGACCTCGATAGGGGGCAAGAAATCCTGGCATGTTTGGATATCCAGAATCAACAAGGTAAAATTGATCTGCAAAAAAAAATAAAAGGCTTATACAGTGTGACATTATAAATATATTCGCAATAATTATTTGACGTATAAGAATGTACCTCCTCATGACATTGGAAAGTTGTTCGAGCTTCTTGTGACTGCATCAACGAATACTCACGAATCATTAGCAGTACCTTCCCAACTACAATACACAAATGTGAATTTCACATCAAAATCACATGTCAACATCACATTTTGTGTTACATTTGTTTTCCTTCCTCTAAAAAATGATTGTCTCGATGCAGGAGCCCAAGCTGCAACATGTGTTCCATCTATTGCGCCTATGCAATCCTTAAAGAAAGGATATTTGCGCAAAATCCGCTCATGCACAATGTCTTGATTTGTCAGACGGATCATCTCGGTGCCAAATGAGATAACAACCCTAACAACTCGTTTAAACCATTTGTGTATCATGTTGTTGGAATATTGGAACCTATCACCAATAACATTGTATCGTGTAGTGTGCCCTACAATCATCATAAACATAGCCACACCCTCATCGACGCTCACTTTTTTCCCATCTTTTAGTAACCCTTTCTCTTTCAAAATGTCACATAAATTCATGAAAACGTGTTTCTGCATACGAAAATTACGATAGCATATGTCCGGATGTCCATTCAAAATTTCTAGGATGTACATTTTTCCTATAAGCAATGATATTCTACAAGGTGTCCTGCCAATGATACTTCCTTTGTTGGCAACAAAGTAATTAAGCACCATTAACTCTCCAAAATTTGCGTCAACATCATCCATATATAACAACTCATCATCACTCGATTCTTCCTCAATGGACTCATCGACATGCAAATTATCATCCACATTTGATCCACTAGCCATAATGCGAACAAAATATAACCAAATTAATTATCACAAGTCATATCAACCACCATTAATTCAATAAAACAAGCAATCAAGCATTAAAAAAGTGAAGACAAATCAACATCAGTTCTCCAACCAACAATATCACAATGTTTGTAAATGAAAACAGTACAACATCACCACAAAATGAGAAAAAAAAGTACTTCAAGCCTCGAGTTTAACATGGCACTTCAACATAACAACAATCACATATTAAAACAATAGTCACATCAAAGTAGTTCCAAGATAGGTCCTCTCCTTGCTTCTGGCATCTTCACAAATGACACCCTGAAATCGGGATCCTTGAAAGCCTTTATTGCTTTCATGTAAACCTCATTAGACACCCCTTCGATATTGTTTAAAATGTCCAAGCAAGTAACATCTGAATAAAGATCTGGACTAGTAACTTCATTATCTAATTGACAACTACCTTTTCCTTTGATCTTTGCAAGCTTCTCTTTTAGGTAAAGTGTTCTAAGTTCAGTTTCTTCATTCCTCAAACTAACTGTAAATGACCATTGTGCCATACAGGCCTCGAGTTTATCACTTTTACTGACCTTAGGTTCCTTACGTCGTCGTTTACCTGATGTACCAATTTCGTTACGTGGACGAGTATTTGAAACCACATCGACTTCATCATCATTTTCTGCAGTCACATGTACTCCTCTATTCAAAAAATCATCTTTTAGCTGTCTTTCTTCCTCTGATGTGTTTGGATGCTGGGTGGAGGCACTGCCTAATCCTCCAGTAGCTGTAGTCCCGCTGAATATCTCCCTAAGAGTGTGGTAGTGCTTACATCCTTCCCTCTTGAACAACTTGTAATCCGACTTGTTAATCTAACATTGAAAAAAGAAACCACATTGTTAGCGTGTTGAAGAAAATAATATAAAATTGATAAGATAAAAAATAAGGACGAACATATTCTTTCATAAATATATGTACCGTATAAAAGTGTTGCCAAACTTCCTCTGCAGCATTAACTTTGTTGGTATTTGGATCCCATGTAACACTCGTATGTCCCAAAAGTTCAGAGAACATGCGATGACTCTTACGCAAGCGGTTCCACTTTCCTTTTAAGCTATCTATGCCGTAATCCATTTTTGTTGAAGTTATCATGATTTCATTGATCCTGCCCCATTCGTCTCTTGTGAATGTAGAACATTGCAATGCATTTGATTTCACTTTCTCGTAAAGAATTTCAATAAAAGCGTGTTCATTCTCGTCCGACCATGACATTGGTTCCTTATTCCGAACTCTATGACCACCCATGTTGACGCTATATTCATATACATCAAATTATCATCAAATATATAAGACCTTCCGTGGGCGATTTGAAGATATATTAATGTATTTAATTATAGTCACATACCACCAAATGCTCAAAAGCATACTAACACATGTACCCATAATTATAAGGATCAACACATTGCCAAACATCATTTTAACTTACAAATTCAAGAATCTTTGCATTGAAATTACTACTAGCAGATACCAAGTTGGAAAAGTAATAAGAAGTTACTTCATTGATGCATTGCATTGCATCAACAAAAAAAGTGAGTAGAAATTTCAGCACCTTCCAAATGACTTTGACTTGATTACTCACAAGAACACTGTAATATGTTTTACAACTAAGCAATTCTCCAATAGTATTGAAAAGAAAGTTGATAAAGCTTGCCTGAAGTATATAATGTGGTTCTGATCTACCAAACAATTCTAGTAGGTTTTGAAGAGAAAAGCTCCTAACGTATGGAAAAAAATGAAAATGAAAAACCCAGAATGCCCAACATCAATATTAACTATTGGAAAAAAATTTGGACTTGAGACCAGGTCTCACATCAAATTTTATATTTCAACAAAAAAAATCTCAATATATATGCAACCGGACATGATGATAGCCTCACAAACCAAACCAATTTCAGAAACCAGAAAAAGAACATAAACCCGGTCATGCTACAAGTAAAATACCAAAAAAATTGAATTGCTTTATTGACTCGTTTAAATGTTGAAAGCAAATTAACCTTACTTCTCTATCATGAGAACTCAACAACCATTTCAATAATACATCAAACAAAAATTCTGCATAACAAGAGTAGGCACCAAATGTATTATATTAATTGATAAAACGTGAAAATTTGATCATTCATATTTCAAAGGTAAAAGGCACAATAAGTTATACATTCATGGATATTCATTTTCTGATTTTCACAGCAGAAGATTCCATTCTAAACTATGTTAATCAATCCAACTCTCAGCTTAAGGCATCTCCAAAAGATCATTTCCCTACATATTAAGTAACATAATACCTACAAAATTCCTCCCTCCATTACACACACACACGCACACACAAAATTTTATAGTCAAATTAACCAAAAACTCAATCATGTAGCCTAGAATCATAAATACTACAAAAAAAAAAAGGCAAATTCTAACATAATAAAAATTCTAAATATGAATCGTTGACCCTAATTAAAAATTCAAAATCAAAAAGAAGAAAAAAATCATTCTGAAACTTAAAATTAGTCAGGATTAAAGGGAGAAAAGGCCAGTATTACATAAACTGATAAACTACGAATTCCTAATCAAATTCTAAATTCAAAAAGGCCAAAACAATTAAAAATGCAGAAATTTTGATGCAAAGAACAAAACCCACCCGAAATTTCAAAAACCAAAAACAATGCTTGACTCTTTTATATGAATACAATATCCACAGCAATCAAATATCTACACCAACAATTCAAACAAATATGTACCAGCCAAAATCAAAACATTTATCCCCAATCCCCAAGCAATACAAACAAATACATAGAGATATACCTATTGGAGAGGCGAGAAGAGTTCACCGAGGCTGGCGGAGGAGCATAGAAAACCCTACTGCTAGAGAGGCGAGAAGAGTTACGGGAAAGAGAGAGATGTCAGTGAGGGTGAGAGAGAGAGAGAGAGAGAGGTAAGGGTTGGTTTAATTTGGGTTGTTTCCCGTGTTTTCCATCAAACCCATGTTTTCTACATAAAACACTCAAAACGTCATTTTAGACGTTTTCAGTTTTTAGTGCAATTTTTTTTTTCAAAACTTTATTTTTGAAAACGTGAAAAAGAACTCGTTTCTATCATTTTGAAAAATCGAAAACACAAAATGAGCCGAGAACGTGGAAGAGAACAGACCCTAATTTTCTTTAATTTATTAAAGCTAACCGACTTAATCAAAATAATATGTATAGAGAGTTGTAATTGCATTACAAGAATTCAAAGAACTACCATGTTTTGACCATGTTTGTGGTGTGTTACCATGTATGCATTGACATTTCATGGTATTCTTAAATAAAATATTATAAAAAAATCTCAAAATTTCAAAGTAAACGTATTTTTCAATTGTATGTTTTGGAAAACAATTTCTCGAAATGATAAAGAGAACGTATTTTCAACAATTTCAAAACATGTACTCAAAACACAACTTAAAATGAATTCAAAGTTCAAAACTATAAAATTGAAACACGAAGAAAACAGACCCTTATTTTTTGAATTATATATCTTATCAATAAATTCGCAATTGTTTTAGAATTTCAAATTCAATTTCTTAATAATGACACATAATTTGTAACAATAAATATAGTATAAGAAACATAATTGCATTTTAGTTGGTTTAGAAATCTTTTTCATAGGGAAAATCTTAGGAGACAATATATGACTCCTACATATAAAAATCACATTTTATAATTAACAAACTTGTTAAATTATTTCAAAATTCAGATTTTAATTCTAATTAATATATAATATATAATTATTCCCACCCCCACCGATTATTTATATTCCAATTAATAATCTACCCATCCCTAAGACCCCTCCAGCCACGCCATACCATCCTACTCACATGTGAAAAAAATAATAATAAATAAAAATAATAATAATAAATTACAAATTGAAAATCTTTTCTGAAGATTTTACCCCACGCTGGAACCATCCCCACCGACACTTTACTCTGTGCTACCCTATCCATCCAATATCAACTCTATAATTTTTTATTTTATTATTATTATTTTTTTTCAACTCTAGAAAATTTTCAGAAATTAAAAACTTTTTTTTGGAGATTGCACTCGAACCCTTGGAACCACTCCCCACTCAGTAGACATTTTTCAAAAATTTAAAATATTTTTCTGAAAATTACACCCCACCTATAGACTAATTGTTACCAAATTTATTTTTTTGACTGTGTATATTTTATATATGACTAGCAGTTAGGGATGACAATTTGAACCGTCAAAACTGAAAATCGCGGTTAACCGAACCGAATGGGGCAAAAAAAATCGAACCGATGGTGCAAAGGGGCGGATATGGTTTTTATTTTAATGAACCGGTTCGTGGTGGTGCAGGTATGGTATTTACGCCGTCGAACCGAAACCGAACCAATTACCCGCTAAAAAAAAAACACACACAATTGAATTGATAATTGGGATTTATACTACTTTTCTATCTAGCCCAAAATAAAATCCCTCCCATTACATTTACCTGACTCAGCCGGTCAGCCCACTTACCATTAGACCATAATAATAGCATTAATATGACTATATATAAATGCAAACCCTACTCTCTACAAACCACAAACTCACGAACGGCTTCTTTTATTGTTAATTTTTTTCTATTGTGTGTAGAAAATTTTACTTCTTCATCATACTATAGAGATTGTGCAACGTTTAGCGAAAAGGAAGCTGACAAAGAGGTACATTTTTTTATTTAAATCTTAGTTAAGACCATTCTGGAATAAATAGTATCGTTGTATTCTCTACTTACATTTCTTATTTACTATATAGGAATGAACTTTGAGTGCTGATCTATGCTAGTAAGACTTGTGTGGAAGAATGAATCAAGTAACTTCGATGTACAACAATTAAGAGTGAAGGAAAAGTTTAGTATTGTTATATTTATAATATTATTTGTTAAATTTATATTTTGCAATTGAAAATTGGGATAATGTTTACATTTTCATTTGGAATATTGTTTGATAATATTTGCATTTTCATTTGGAATATTATGTTTTTTTTCATTAACTTTTTTCATAAATTATTTTATATCAATTTGATGGATGAACCTATAAAAAATAATTTATTTTCGTGGTTATTAACCGAACCGAACCATGCCGAATCGAGATACAAATCGAATCGAACCGAACCGAACCGATTTACGTGGTTATGGTACGATTATGGTATGTTCAAAAAATTGGTGGTGCGGTTATGATTTTGGTCGAACCGATCCATAACCGAACCGTTGCAAACCCTACTAGCAGTGATCAAATTTGTCTTCAATATGAACATCTAATTTGTAACTGTATATAAACAAATCACTAACATATGTTATTTGTTACTAACTGTAATCAAATTTATCGTCAGAGTAACTGTCTGTGACTAGGCCAATTATAACTGCGACCAAGTCACAATCGATCACAATTCACACAGATTTGGTCACAACCAGTCAATACATACTTGGACACATAGAGTTCCTACAAATAAATATGCATACACCTTAGATCAGCATCTCAATCCACTACCATCACCTCCAATGTTCCACCTAGTTAACATAGATTTGGACATAGGCAATCACAAAAAGATAAACTTGATCACACTCGATTGCCGCCGTCATCATCACTTTGATACCATCATTCCCAAAAACGTCAAGAACCAAGTGAGAATCACCTCACTACGACTACATGTACCGCCAGCAACAAAATCATAACCGATTACACCACCACGAACAACAACTATACCACCCCACAGATCAAAAAATCACCGCACCATTTTGCGAAACACAAACAACCATCCCAAAACTTTGACTAAACAACATATCTAATTTAAAAAAAGAAAAAGAAAAAGCTACCCACCACTAAAATTTTATGAACAATAAAATTGCAAAAATCCAAATCTGTGATAATAAATTCTGTTTTGACTTGAAAGATGGAGATCTGATCGAAAATGATGAGAATGCCACTGACTTTGCTAGAGATTGATGTTGGTGTCGATGTTAGAGAATTGGTGGGATGAGATCAATGAGTCGGACAAAATGGTGGGATAGGTGGAAGCAGGGACCGAAACTTGGGAAGCGGATCATCATGCCTGCAAGGCGCAAGCAACGGTTCGCTGCTGCACAAGGTGGAGCCACTGCTGCATGGAGTACTTTCTCAGTGCGATTCTGCTTCCTAAGGGCTAGGTGGGGGTGAGTAGAGTGGTGGTGGTAGAGAGAGAGAGAGATTAATTCAGGTGGGGATGTTGGGGTTACTACGTAGATTAAGGTTTAATTAAATTTCTATTAATTACAATTAATAATTCTATTTATCACCTGAAATTTGAATTTTAAATTTAACCCCCTTGTTTATGAAAATTAATATTTAATTGTAGGATTCTAGTAATTTTTCCAAAATCTTATTACGTATTGATTCAACTAATTAATTATGAATAAGAAAAAAAATTATTTCAAAAAGAAAATAAAAAGGAATAACAAAAAATTGTATCAACATACCCTTGGGTCCATTTGGCTATTGTAGCCCAATTTTCTTGGGTTTTCTTTTTAGTTGAAATTACATATAGACCTACTTTAAAAGATCCAATTTCGAAAACAAGATGCAATGTATATTTATACAAAAATCATATATTAATTTAAATATTATAATTTAATAATTTAATATTATAAATTAATCTATATACATACACCCTGCCATATCTATTCCCATTCAAACCCTAGAATGAATT